GATCTAAATTATAAAAATTATGAAAATATTAAATTCTGTGAAATTATGCGGTGACTAACACAAATAATGTAATTAGATGCATTTAAGGAAAATTCTGCGACGTTATGTGAATCACAGAAAATCATCGTCCCTGAGCATGATGGAAGTTTGTTTTAATTGGTTTAATATTTGTGATCTACATAAAATATTACACCAAATCAAACCAATAAAAAGTCTAAATTCTTATCATAGGTATATTAATATAGCGAAGCGCGTTAAAGCCATGATAAAGAACACGTATACATAACATGTATGATAATAAAGTTGAGCTGTTATGAATAAATTAATCTTTTAGAAAAACAATTTGTTTTATTTATAAGATAAAAAGGTTAAATAAAGAATAGAATTTTTTTTTTTTAAAAACCAATTTTAAAACTTTAATATTTTATAATTTTAATATAATGACTCGAAAAAATCTTGACCCTTGTTCTATTCATAATTGTCAAATTAATTCAAATCAATATTGCGGAATTACAACTAATGCATTAAGAAAAGCAAAAGAAAAAGGCACCTTTGACCAATATAATTATTTGAAATTTGGAAAACAATTATGTTATTCGCATTATCTTAGTATTATTGAACCCGATCGCAATAAAAAATTACAAACTAATAGTATTTGAAATAATCCTAATATTTCTAATATACAAAATAATGTAATTGTTAATAATAATAATATAAAACTATTATCATTTGACAACAAGATTATATTAATGACTAAAGTATTATATGAAAAATAAAGAAAAGAAAACACTACTCTCAAATTGGATCCAAATAATTTTCAAACGATACTTGAAAATGCTGAACCATTATTAAAAGGATTTTTTAATGAATTATATAATTCATTTACTCCAGATAGAAGAACTGCTTATAATAAAAATGAAAACAAAAAAAAGTAGTTAGTATATGCTATTCAATAGCAGCAATACGAAATAAATTTGTAAACCAATATTCTTTGAAAATTGGACTTTACCTTGCAGCATCGGGTGCATCATGTGATGCAATTAATACAATGCATAATGCTGGCATTTCAGTTTACTATAAAACTGTTGAAAACTATAAAAAGAAAATAGCTAATGCACATCCAGAAAATATTCGAAAGTATTTTACTGAAAAGGTAAACACTTTTTTGATATTTTGAATATAATTGTTTAATTAGACAAACAATTAATATTTTAATTATTAGAATAATAGCTTCTTTGTTTACAATCTTGATGATTACCATAATATACATGGAATAAGACGTCCTAATACTGTATTTCTCTCAACTGCAGCCCATTTTGCAACATGTATTAGTAAAGAAATTTCAAACTGTGCTCCAATTTCAATAAACTACAATGGTAATTCAATCTATAATCCTACCAATATAGATGCTTTTTTAATTTGCTGGTATTTAATTACATAATATCATGGAATTTTTGATCTATCGTACACCCAAAGAAAGAATCAGTGGATTGTTTCACAAAAAACAGATCTTATTAATTTTGATCAAGTTGATCTTTTAACTGTTTATTGTTATGATGATGCTATAAAAGAAAAATCAAATGAAAGAAGTATGGAAAAAGTACGATTAGTTGGAATTAAAGAGAGTAAACTTTATTCATTAAATGATTATTTGAATGCATTAGAAATGATTCTTTCTATAAATAAAGATATTAAATATACAAATGATTTTGTAATGCCAATTGTTGCTGACTGGCCTAGACAACTTTTCATACGAAAAGCATTAACCTACTTATATCAACAAAATACAATGTCACAAATACCAGAATCTATTAATGCTTTCATACCTATATTAGGTCCATTACATGTTTCATTAAACAGTCGGAAGCAAGTTCTAATAATCTATTATTCTTTCTTTAAAAAACTTTTTCATGCAGTTTTTGGAAGTCGAAAAGTTCTTGCTAAAAAATCCAAACCATAGAGAATAAATCTTCTTCTTGAACTTGCTTACCAAGGATGGTTAAAAATAAAAATAAAAATACTAGAAAAATTTGGATCTATATGTAAAAATGTAGAATATAGAATGTTAATTGACCTTCTTGATAATGTTATTCCATTAACTCTGGATGTCTATGCAGTTCTTTTTCATTCAGGTTCCTTTGATGAATATATTGAAACTATTTTTTGAATATGGACTTTTGCATTGTGACAGAATCGTAAAAATTATAACAAAGCCCCTCTAGTTTTTTATCAGACATTTTTTATTGGCAATATATAGAGCATCTAATATTAGATGTAATTAAAATCTTTCTTGTAGATTTTAATGATTATTTTGTTGAAAACTTACACAGTCAGATATGCGCAAATACATCATCAAATGATAGTGTTGATGCTATTATTAAACAGACTTGTATACTTGGTATGAAATATAATTATATTAAAAATGCAATTTTTTTATTAACTTATATAAAATTAAAAAAATAGATACAAACAAGCAATCATTATTTAAAAGAACATATCATACAAAGAAAAGATACCTATATACACCATCCACTCTAGAATATTTGATAAAAAAAACATCATTATTTTTGCTAGACTATTTTCGCCAATTATTCCAATATATTAATACAACTGCTAAAACTTCAAATGTAACAACTAATGGTAATAAGAAGCAAGGAAAAAAGAAAAAAGACATTCAAAATATAAACTTACTATTTTAAATGAAGATGTTGATGTCATATGTTTACCAACGGATTATAATACTGGAGTTCCTCCTTTACCGGAACTTTGTGACAATTGTTACAAAATATTGGATAATGATGGTGGTGGTACAGTATTAATATGTGGCCATGGTTATCATTGGCATTATTATGATTAAATGGCATATGGTTGTTGACACTGTGAACAGTATTATAAAGATAGCATATATAAAAATGTTAATTCATTATTAGAAAGACTTGAAAAAGGCACTGATACATTTTCTGAAAATGATGGAATTGAAGAAGAATTACAAGATTTAGATGAAGAATTAGAAGGTTCTGAGCATGAAAATATTCAAGAAAAAGATGTAAATTTGCAAAGTGCAATAGATAATATAAATAAATGGTAATAAAGAAAAATAAAATAAAAATATTATACAAAAAAATATATTTTTGTTACATTTATGCGTATAAGCAAACTACCTTTAAATACTCGATCTAACTTGATCTGAAAGTTTTAAACAGTCCGTTAGGATATAAAAAACATATTATTTAAAAAATTTTTTTTTTGTAACGAGAAACTGAAAGTGTTATATTGTATTACCGTTACTAATAAATTTATATGATACGATATGTATTAGCCAATCATGTTCGATTTGTTCTACTTGATGATCAACCAATAAAATTAAACTTCCATCATGCTAACAAATCCTACTTCCTTTGCCACGTGACATCTGACCAATCATCATAATCCCTGATCAGATCGATTAGTCATATGACAGATGTAGACGTGTCAAATACTACGTCTATCGTGTCGCGGTCGCGTTTTTCTTTCATAATCAAATCTATCAAATTTTATATAAGATAATGTCAGTTAACAAATCCCCAGATAATAGTTTTACAGATCCCTGGTCGTATTATGTTGAGAACGATACAGAAAATTTGACAGTTCATCCGTACTTTAAAGCCGTTCAAGCAAGATTTTGGACCTTCGAACATTACATTAATTGGTTGTGTAATAATGTTGAGCTTCCTATTTGGTCCACAAGCGTATCTCAATTTTACGAGTCTTTAAGTACCATCAATAAAATCAAAAATGCACCTCTTTGTGTTCGAGCATATGTGAAAAGTGTTTTGGAAACTATGAATGTAAGTACCAATATTTATTTGCTTGGCTTGTTTGCGGAAGGCTCATTAAATTATGAATTAGGAAGAGGAGAACAAGCATATAATGGAGGATCTTGAGGATACATATCTAGCAATATTGAAAGAAAAACAGGATAAGGATCTTAGCAAGGTTTGTGATTGTTACCATTTACTGGTACTAATTAAATAGAAAACTTACGCACATAGTTTGAAATCCAAAATAGAATTTATTGCACGCACAAACGAATAAGAAGGCTTATGCTAATTCCACAGTTGATAATTCCAAAAGTCAGACGAAGAAAAAAAAATTTTTCCGTGAGCCGAAAAAGAGAAGAACAGACAATAGTGACGATGAGGAAGCTATGGAAGGATCTGTTCTCTTTGATGAATCGAATGAGGACACTTTAATTGATTCCATAGATGAGTCTGGGTTGAGAGAAGAAGCAGTGTTGCCAATTTCAGAAACGAACCCTGATGTAAGTTTTTTTGTTAAAGTCAAGACTTGATAATTACATTCCCAGCATGCATGCTGATTCAACTATACTTAATAGACTTCAAAGCAGGAATTTTTACAAAGTATCTCCGAGAAATTCAATAAATATCAGGAAAAAATTCCTAAGACGCGTCGAATAATAACGTAAGCTTTGTTGTTGTGATTTCAACATGATAAAATTACTTGTTCTTAATTTTGCTTGCTATTTAATAGATTGGGTTATTGGGGCATCTTTGATCTAACGCAACAGAGCCTCTATGGATGCACGAATTTCTCCCAAAACGAAATCAATAAAATCGCGCAAGATTTTGCCAATCACGTTCATTGGTCTCCACAACCAACTCCAGATTATCTTCAGCAATATTTTGATTCTTGCGATCCTACTAAACTTAAAGATAATGCAATGGTTGAAAAAATACACACGAATATACAATTTATGTAAGGTTTTACTTATCAGTATATAGTATTTGTGCGTTTGTGCGATTTCTCTGATATCTGATGAGATTTTCCTTTATCAGACTCTATAATATGTCTAAAAAAGGAGCTAAGACGGAAGAAGAACATAAATTCATTACCATATATCCTTTATTCAATGCTTTCATGGACCCTTCGTTAATAAAAGATACTTGGTACGTCATTGTGAGTTGATTTACAGTAAAATACATAGTACTAAGAAGTTTGTTTATGCACACATAGGGGAGAGACTCAGACACTTTGCTCGAAAGATATGAGGAATGAGAATGCAAATCCTTTTGTCAAAGCTCGTATGGGGCGAAAAGTTGATATGAAAGGCACCCTGACGAGGACATCAAATAAATTCGAAGCCTTGTACGGAGAGGTTGCAAACGGGTTAAGTTCACTTGGAATATCGCTTGCGTCGCAAAAAAAGAAATATTTAGACAAAGTCAAACTTGCAGTATTAATGCGAGACTCGTTAAATAGTATTTTAAAAAAATGGAAATATTTAAATGATGAGCAGAGAAAAAAGATTATTGTATATGGTTGGACACTTGCAGGTGGGCAGATATTTTATGTAGAAATTTGGCTGGACTTTGCTATATGACTAATATATCCAATTCAATATAGGATTTGATTTATCTCTATATGCAATGGATTGGACTGGAAATGGAATATATCGCTTTGGATTGATAGAAAATTGTCATCTTCCATCAAATAAAGATGAATGTGCCTTATTTGAAGGTGCATTTTGCCTCTTGAAAGAATTGGGGGTATGTATATCTTGTTCTTGTCCTATAATTATAATCGTCAAATACTCAATTCATCTGGTTTCGTGCAGAGGAAATTAACTGATACTGAAAAGCTCATCCAAGAATTACATATTGCAAACACGCGTGGAAAATGTAGACAAATAACTACCAAGAATAGTCCAACCCTAAACCTTAATAGAACTCCGAATTGATTTACTTCCATTCAACCGAAATCATGATCGTAATAAAGACAAGAATTTCAGACTCATTTATCATTTTTTTAGTCACGCTTATCGTGACATTATTAACGAGACATCGTGTGAGGGTTCATTCATACACAGTATATAGTGAATTATTCTTTGACAGTTTGACGTATAAAAAATTATTTCAATGACAGTCTTTACATTTTCGAAATTATAGCCATAATATACTGTAATACCACTTTTAACTTTGTATATGCATAGGGGCTTCGCTAATGTATTTCTATAATATAATCTATAATACACGCAAAAGTGTATTACTTCGTGTGGATGCTGTGTATCAGAATAATAAAAAAGTTAATGAATTGAATTTTCTCTATAAATACATATTCAAGCAACTAATGGGCTATAAAAAGAATGAAAACAAAAATCGTGCACAACCAGTTTGCTTAAGCAAACCTATTGACTCAGCATCAAGTATTTCAAAAAGCGAGAAGGGAAATACTATCTGTTATATTTGTGATAAACGTTTCATTTGCCCTTGTGAGAGTGAGAGATGTACCAAACCAAAAGAACGAATATGTGCCTTAGCCTCTTATTCTAATACATATCCCTTGTATCGTTTAACGATGGGTACATGCATGCCCTGATTCATGTGCTCAGCAGATTGTAACTGAAGCTTTAATAAATCTTTGCTATTAATCAAGTAATGAATTTGAAAATGCTCTTAATACTGAGCATGCTGCTATTTGGGAAAGGATAGCAAGAGAAATTAACAATATTAATCCAGTTCAAGTTACTAGCAGACAGTGGCAAATAAAATTTAATGCATTAGTTCGCAGTTATGAAAATTGCCAAAGAATAAGAATTGGAAATCCAGAAGAATTTTTAATAAGAAGTCCAAATCGATTTAATGTTGAATTTTAGCAAAAGATAAGGGAGGAATTTTGGTTGCCTCAAGGTGTTAATAATGGTTTAATTTAAATTTATTGTTTGTTTTAAATAAATAAATATTTATATTTATTAATTTATTAATTTATTTTTAGATGAAATATGGTATGTATATTTGAGGTAACGAATAGATAGATAATGATTTGAATTTAGAGAATGCAAGCATTCTTGAGATCAATCAAGAAATAGAAGTAGAGAACGCAGGCATTCTCGAGATCAATCAAGAAGTAGTAGTAGAGAATGCAGATATTCTCAGGATTGATCAAGAAGTAGAATCAATCCTAAGAAAGGGATAGAAGAAAAAAATTATATTTTTTTTTCTTTTTTAGTTTTAGTATTTTTTTATTTTTATTTTTGGTTTTAATTTTTTTATTTTTTTATTTTTGGTTTTATTATTTTATTTTATATAAATTTTTCTTTAAATTTGAGTAGTAAGATCCAGTTCATATCAATATTAGCTGAAGACTCATCTTTTTTTTTAATTTATTATTTTATTTTAATATTTATTTATTTTTTATATTTAATTGAGTAGCAAAGTCCAGTTCGTATCAAATATCAGCTGAAGACTCATTTTTTTTGGGTTGTAAATAAGTACTGACGTTCTCGTCATATAACTTGAATGCTATTTTTTTAAAAAAAATAGTAGCATACAAATATCAACTTTAAAAATAAAAAATAAATTATAAAACATACGTCATAAATTGTTTGTTGATTTGTTTAATGATAATACTCATTATTAAATATCAATACATTGGAATACATTTGAATATTAACTTTTTATAGAAAAAAATTTCTGATTATTATCTTAAATTTTGCTTATTTTTAATAAAGTTTAATTTATTTGATAATGTAAAATTTTTTATTTTATTTTTTATTTTTATATTTATATTTATATCACATGAAATAATGATATTTGACAACATATTTTAAATTTTATTAAAGAAAAAAGAAATACATAAAAAAAAAGAAAGATTTATTTCAAATTATTAGCATGTAATGAATTAAGAATATGCTAATAATTGTTCTGAAGTTGTTTCACTGAATGGCTTAACTTTTGATTGTAATGAGATCTTCTTGACAATCTTTTTCTTATAATATATGTAATTCTTCTTTAAGCTGATGATATGATCTTTAAAATTAATATAATCTATTTTTTTTGATGAGTTGAAAGAGAAGAAAGTTCAGTTAATTCTCTATAAATGATCATATTTAAAGAAAGCTCAGCAGTTTGATTTAAAGAAGAAGAAAGTTATTTTTTAATTATGAATTCTTCTGATATAAACTCTCTTTTCGTTAAAGATCTACAGTCTAAATAGAAAATAGCTAAATATTAGAGTTGTGAAGTTGAATATCTTAGCATGTATCAATTCACTAAGAGGTTAGTTTGATAATCCTAACAATATTTTATAAAGCTACATATTGATACAGGCTAACAGAAACTATAATAACTAATTTAAGCAAGTAAAAACTTACATTACGAGAACTCTTTTTCTGATAAAGACCTATAGTTTGAATAGAAAAAAAGCTGAATATTAGAATTGTGAAGTTAAACATCTTATTATGATTAACATGTATTAGTTTACTAAAAGATTAGTTTAATGATCCCAATAATATTTCAAATGGTTGCATATCAATACAGGCCAACAGAAGCAATTCTAAGCAAGTAAAGACTTACATTACGAGAACCTACGTATGATATAAAGAAAGAAATAAAAGTATTAGTATGTTTCAATCAAATTAAATAAGGTTAAACAAACTATCATAGTTTATATCAGCTGATAACACAAATGCATATATCCTAAATTCAGGCTAACTTATACAAGTATATAATTTGTATAATTCTATCTTTCAGATCTAGTACTATTCTTAAGCCTACTTGTCTTACCTTGAACTTTTTCACTTCTAAATATATTATAATGTTTTGAAGCTCTATGTTATTTAGAAATAGATTTCTTTTTGCTAGTACAAGTCAATAAAAATTTAAGAATTGATAATAATTTTTGTGTTAAAGAAAAATTTTAAAAAGAAAAAGGAAATTCAAAAGGGGATTTGTTATCAATAAATATTTTAAAATCCAATAATTCAAATTGGATTAAAATTTAATATATTATTATTATTATTATTACAATTTAATATTATAATATATAAAAATATGAGCTAATTTTAATTATAGGTTATTAGGAAAACGAATATATTATATAAATTATAAAAAATTAGTAAAAAGTATTTATTTACCATTATTGATGTCGATTTTCTCAGCATTTAGGATTAAAATTAGCTCAGATTTTTATATGTTATAAAAAATTAGATTGTATTTATAATATATAAAATTTTGGTTTAATTTGAAATATTAGATTTTGAGATATTTAATTGTCCAGAGCATAGCGAAGGACTATATAATTCCATGCTGTTTGACTCAAAATGTCTGGATGTCCATCCGCTTGTTATTTAAATCGATCAGTATGATTGATGTAAACAACAAATAAATGAAGGAACCATGATACTTTAACCATTTCTGTAATTAGTGTAAAACTTTATTATTATTAAATTATATAAAAAAGCTCCAGATTTATAATGGTTTCCGTTTCCTCGTAGTTACATTTATGTGTGAAAATATTTGTCCATCCTTTGTATTTATTAAATTTAATATTATAACTATTTTTTTTTTATTTATTGTTATATTTATTATATTACTTAAAATATATATGATAATTGAAATAATAAAATTATATATCTTCAACATTTATTTTATTATTAGAATTATATTATAATCTGCTTTTGCTAGAGATTTATAATATATTGTAAGAAATTTGATTAAAGATTATGATAAAAATCAAAAAATAATCATCCTATCTATAATCACATTATATAAAAACCTTTTTATAATTATGGCTACATTAAAATTAATTTTAAATTAATAAAAAATTACCTTTATATTATCACAATATAGTAAAACCTTTTTATAAGCATTTATTTTAAAAAAAATTACTATGTAATCAAAAGTAATGATTATAAACAAATCTAACAATATTAAAAAGATTATTTTCTAGCAAAATCTTATATTTAAAACCATATTTTAGCAAATTATATTTTATAAGTTTCAATAATTAAATATATTTTTTATAAATATATTTTGATAAAATTTCCTAAATAAATAAGATAATTAATTAATAATATATTTACATAATAATATTGAAATATTTTTCTATAAAATAATTTCTATAAAAAATAAAAATAAAATAAAAATAAAAATAAAAATTTCTAAATTTATTTATTTTTAAACACAAATTATAAATTATAAAAAGATTTTATCCAAAATTTAATTTTCTTCTTTTTTTATATATATATATATAAATAAAAGTATTATTAACGTCAATTAAAAAAAAAAAGAGAGAGAAACTATGAAAAATATATATATTATATTCATATATATACAAAATAAACAAATCTTAAAAATTTTAATCAAAAATTCCAATAATTTATAATAAATAAATAGAATACAATGGAAAGAAAAAATCTGGTAAGAAATTTTTGTGTTGTATCGATTTAAAATACATAAATAAAAGTATCTTAAGTTAAATAAAATCTTTTTGAAATTTCTATATAATAATCTTCTATTTCGTTTAAATAAATGAAGAATGAATTAATATTGAGAAAAGATATATAACAAAAGGATTTGGATAAATTAAAATGGATGTATTAAAATACCAAAAAAAAAAAATAGCTTTAAAATCCAAAAAAAAAAAATTTAGATAAAAATTTCTTCTTTTAAACGAATTAGAATTTTTAATAATGTTAAATTCACATTCATAAGTCATCACTTTTTTTTACTTTTCATTGCCAGTATTAGTTATTTCACCATTCGCATTTAGACTACTTTGCTGATTCAATTCTTTATTCTGTAAACTTTGAGCATCTTTAACTGAAAATGCCTCATAATTAGGCTCACGTTCTATAAAGTTTCTTACTGTTGATCGACGAATTTTACGCAATTCAGGTGAATCCGTATCTGAAGCAGTATCTTCCGTGGATTCTACATGCAAACTAGAAGATGTTGAATTAGGCCGTGGCAAACCATTTGGCGTCGGTAGAAGTGGTGAAGCTGGTGCTGAACGTATTGATGAATTGTGCGGCGAAGATGTTGTTAATTCATCTGCCGAGGCAGAAGATAAGCTTTCGACATCGTCATCATCATCTGCTTGAAGAGCAAGATCATTGACTTCTTCTTCATCTGAAGAGTCATTGCGACGAAGCTTCTTAGTAACTGTCAACTTTCTTTCCAAACCAACCACATTCTCTGGTGCCCCGTCCATATAATGCATACTGTTACGATTACTCCTTCCGTCGATGTCTTCACGAAGGTCTCGGCGCCGCAAAGCAGTTTTTGGTGATAATGCACCAGGTAAAATAGGATCTTCATCAGAATTGTCATTTGTTGTAGTTTGCAAAGTTTCTACTGATGTATTATTTTCTTCTGTTCTAGAATTAGATGTCTCACTTTCCTTGTTTTCAGATGGAGGTGCTTCTATAGTTCTAGGTGCAGCTGTACCGTTGCTATCAGTAAAGAAAATATAATCAAATTCAGCCATAAAAAGACTAAAAACACCTGCAGGAATACCCAGGGTTGGCGAGAAAACGATTCCAATATTGCGAACAGTCATCTTATTAATGTCGGAATTCTGTACAATACGGATCAAATGTCCGGTTAATGTCCTTAGTAAAGTATAATTTGATAAAGGAAGGGCAGAAACAAGACGACCAAGTTCATTTATACGATCACGCCGATCAAGAAGGTCTGATAATTAAGAAAATTACATTTAATAAACTTAAAAAATCATAGATCGATGAAAATGTCAATTAGAATAAAACCTACCAATCACATTAACAAATTCGGCGTGTAATTCCCGAGTTAGAACACTAGTGGGCAATTCCCTCAAGTATAATTTCAATAGCCCAGCCACAGCATGTACGTCATAATATTCACCTTCGCCTATTAAATCAACATCTCCCTCAGAGTTGAATCTTTCCTTTAAGAATTTAATAGTAGCCGTAGCCCCATTTAAGCGGTAAATTCCTTCTTCTTCTGTAGCATTATAAGCATCCAAGTATTCAATACATCGATATAATACAGCAGGAAGTTCATAACCTTCTTTAATTCGTGCTACTGAAATAGCATAATCCAATGGAACACCAAAAACAATTTTGGACACGTCAGGTCGTGTTTCATGAGATTTCTTCTTATCATCTTTACTACTCCCAAACATACTGCCAAAGAAAGTTTTACGTGACGTTTTTTTCCTTTCAACTTGATTACTATCATCATGCTGACGTCTTAAATTTCCATGTATTTGCATTTGAGCAGCATCTCGTACTCCTTGAACATATGAGGGTTGTTGCGGTAAATTGTTAACGCTCATACCACCAACAGGCGAAGCAGCATTTTCTCGAGGTTCGGGAGTTCCATTACGGTTCCTACGATCTGAATCGTCTCGACCTAACACGCTACCGCGTTTCACTACTGGAGTCGAAGATATACCCAACATGGATTGCTGTTGATTGCCACCTAAAGAATTTCTTGGTGGCTCATTCCATTGGTCTGACTGCTGCAATAATGAACTTGAGCTTTGTACACTAGAGGAAAGCACACTTGAAGATGGTGATGATGATAATGATGATGATGGATGATGTGAACTATGATTAATATTATCGCCTCTAATAGTGCTAAAACTAGAAATTGATTCATTTCCTTTTTTCCTATCAGGACGAATGTCTCTTTGTAGTATAGCATTATCGTTTGCAAGAAGTTTGGCATCGAAAAATTCATTTTTACCAAACTGCGAAATTGGATGAGCACTGACTTTGGCAATGATTTCCTTTGGAAATTTCTTCTTTGAACTTTTTTTGCTTTCCCGTTCTTCTTCTTCAGTTACACCAACATACTGAAGTAAGGCTTCCACCCATTCATCCCTTTCTGAATCACTCTCGGCACATAATACGTGTTTATTCTTAGAACCAGTTTTTGGTTCCAAAATTAGGAAAGCGTGCCTATAGGAATTGTCACTATCCTTATCCGCTTCATTAATATTATTATTTTGTTGTCGCCCAATTTGTGCATAAGTTAGGCGAATAGAACCGAGATGATTCCCCCCTTTCTATAAAATTGTTAAAAATAGCAATAATGTATCAATAAAAGCTCTATCTCATTTAAAATTTTCTTAAAAAATTAATAAACTCACGGTCTCATAATAATCAAGCACAGGATTATTCAACACAAAATATCTTGATTTCCAACCACCAAAATTCTTGCCTTTTTTTGTAAGATATCCCTCCTTATATCCGGTCTGCTTTATCATTATCGGTAAATAATAAATTTTTTTAAAAAAAAATACAATATTTGGCTTTAGTTATACATAATTAATATTAATTTAATATTAACTATTGAAATAATCCGTACCCGATAATCCTTTGCTTCCTGATCAATTACATTTGAACTTAAAAATTCACATAAATCTTTAGAATCTTTTAATGGTAATGAAATGACATGTTGAAGATATTGTTCCAATGCAATCTATCATTTAGATACAATATTTTGAAATTTAATAATAAGGCCAAAATTTAACATGAAATGCGACAACTAAAATATTTCATATCACAAACCTTTCTTTGATCTACTTTACTAGGGGCATTATTGTAGAAGAGATTTTTATCCGGTAATTTACCAATTTTATTAATAGTACTTTTGTTTTGGCGTAGTTTCAACTATAAATTTCCAAAAGGAAAAGTAAATTAGTCAATAATTCAACTATAAGTTTGAATAACGATTAGAAATCTGATCATACTTTTGAATCCAAAGATAAAAAATCAGAATATAATTTCTCAACTCTCCATAATTCTTTCTCCAACCCAACGATTGTACCATCTTGTACTCTTGCATGTCCTACTGATATTACAAATGCCAACACTTCTTTGCCCTTATCATTATTCTTTTTATTGCTGCCAATAATTTTTACAGCAATGCCAGAGATACCGTCTGAGGTAATAACTTGTGAGTCTTGTAGTTTTTGAGTCGGCTGTAGGTGTTGCTGTGTAAAACCTGGTTGTTGGAACGGCTGTTGAGCCATTTGCTGTTGTGTCATTTGCTGTTGTTGCGCTTGTGGTAACTGTTGCTGAAGACCATAAGATGGATTCGTCACAATACCAGCGTCAGGAAGAGACCGTTTGTTTTTTATATGTTGAGCTACACGTTCAGCAGCGGGACTATCTCTTGGATTTTGTCCAGGTGTCATATAAACACTGTGCCGAGTATTTTGACCAGGAATTGATAACGTGCTAGAATTCAATCCTGCGTTACGTAATTCGGGATAATTCCCTCCTCGAGGAGGTGGCATAGCCGAAACCCTAGCTCTTGGTCCAGGTGAAATGTAATTAAAAGATTTACTAGGTCTCAATGCCTTGTCCTTTGGAATATCATCCGTAGCTAAATAAGTGCTACCAAGGTTTGAATCACTATGATTATGAGTCAGGGAATCCCTCCTTGAATTTTTCGAGGAATCCTCAGAATCATCACTAGGTACCGATATAGATGGTTGTGGTGTACTATTACTTTCTCGATATGGTAATGATTGTGATCTAATAGGTAAATTGTGTTCTATTGTAGGTATTTGAATAGTTCCTTGTAAATATTGTAAATAACTGCCATTGCTTTCATTGTTCTGATCAATTATAATAGTACTGTTTGGTATATTATCATGACTCGGACTATGTGGAGGTCTAGGCAATTCGGACTCATTACTGGATTTACGTGATACATTACCATAAGCAAAAGCTCTAGGTGAGGATGGTAACTTGGGAGAATGAGGCGGTATAGATGATGATGAACTTGGCAAACCAAGGGGTTCAGGAACTTTATGCTCATTTTCCGTTAATGAGCTTGACAGACCAAGGGGTTCAGGAACTTTATGCT